GATTAAAGACTTTAAAGGGAAAAGCAAAACTAGAGGGAGGCAGGAAAGGATATTTTAAGGCAGAAAAAGCACAGATCGTAAAGGCAAAGACTGGCGTTAACGACTCTGCCAAAAATTAAAACTCCTACCCAAGGACTACAAAGTTAAAAGACCTGCTACGCCTGGGAGATGATAATTCATAATGCAAATAACAGATAAAGGGTTCATATCCAAAACTATATAAACAGGTCCTGAATCAGTAAGATAATGAAAAACAACAGCAGAAAAACAGAAAAAGATAATTCACTGGAGAAGAAACCAAATAACCATCTGAAGAAGGTGCTCAGCTCCACTCACAGCTGGGGAAATGCAAATTAAAAGAAGATACCATTTCACTTCCATCAGACTGGCAAATATCTAACTCTGAAACCTGGGCAAGGTAGTAAGAAGACAGGCACCCGCAAGTGCTGGGGCGCACGGACACCCATGTAACCGCAGGGTGGGTGATCTTGGTTGAGGGCGAGGCCGAGGTGAGGGCCGGCATGCCCTTCCTGCTCCGCTCCCTAGAGGACACCAGCTCCGGGACACAGAGACGCCTCTGAACGTCCACTCGACTCCCACTTGTGACGGTGAGAAATCAGAAACCACTCACGCGCAACTCAGGGGAGGGATGGATAGTAAATTGAGATATAGTTGCTTTTGGAATACTGAGCATCCATTTTAAATGAATGAACCTGATTTATATGCATCAACAGAGATAAGTATGAAATACAGAGTACTGACAGATATAATGACATTTATGTGATGTTTTCAAGATACACAAAACCATATTCTGTATTGTTTATGGCTACATATATACATAATAGAAGTTTTAAAATGTGGATAGAGAGGAGAGACATCAACTTTTGGACAACTGGTTACCCTGGGGAGGAATGAGACTGAGAGATCTGAAAAGGAATTTAGATTATATCAGAAATATATTATTTCACACACACATACAAATGATGAAACATGGTACACGTTCAACAAATATTAAATTCCTACTCTGTGCTATATATATATGTATATACACTCTGTGCAGTATTATAGGAGCCCAGAATGATTATATGAACAAAATCAATAGAAGTTCTTACCCTCTTGAGATTTATATCCTAACGAAGGTGGGGGTGGTTACCAGACAAGCAAATCTATAAATATGAAACATGTATCTTCTATAAATACGAAATATATTGTACTTCTACATACGTAATAGTATCTTTGTCCCCATAAAATCCGTGAATATAAAATAGTATCTGGAGAGCACGCCTGGCAGAAGGCAGGTCCAGGTGCAAACAGAGCCTGGCCCAGTGTGGCACTCTGGAAGAACAGCACGGAGGCTGGCGCACGGAGTAGGGGCTGGGGGGAAGAGCCCAACGGTGCAAGTCAGTGCAAAGCCAGCAGGGCTGTCTGCCGTAACACGGGAGAGCAGACCCTGGAGGGCCAGGAAGACGGGCAGGAAGTACCTGCCATAGGCTACACAGGAAACCAGGGGCCTGAGAATCTCAGGCAGTGCTAGCAGAGTTGTGGATGAGGGTCAGAGACGACCCTGGGTTTGGGGCTGCAGCGGAGGATGGAGGCTGCTTGCTGCCGGAGGGAGTGCCTGGGAGGAGCGGGTTTTGATGGCGGATAGGGAGCTTGGCGAGGCACGTGTTCCAAACAGGACGTCCGTCAGCTGTCCATGGGGACACAGACCCCAGAGTTCAGGGGAGAGGTCTCAGTAAGAGCACCCGCCGGGATGACAGGGTGTGGGTACAGCGGGGGGGTGGTGCGCGCTAAGGGCACCCCAATGACGAAAGGTCAGAAAAGGGGGGCCCGGCAATGGCAAAGGAGAGGCAGGAGGAAAAGCAGGAGAAGCACCCCTGGTGCCCAGTGGAGGGGGAGGGTGCTTGCTGGGGACTGAGTTCCACAGAGCACCACCATGGGAGGACTTCGCGGTTGCAGAGAAGTGGAGAGGAGGTCTGTCGAGGGGCTGCACCAAGCCCAGAGACGGGGAGGGTGAGCCAGGGACCAGGCTGGGAGGGGATGAGGGGCCACCCGGCAGGGGTCCCCGCAGACGAATGTGAGTGCCCGGAGGGGGTGCGGGGGTGGGGGGGTCTCTCCGGAAGCTGCTGCATTTCCAGGCCCCTATCTCACTCTCTTAGCATGCTGGAGAGGCCAGGGAGGCCTTCCACGGAGGTCATCAATGCAATAAAACAGACCTACAGGGAACCTCCCACCCTGGTGGACAGCTGGCTGTCCGTGTGTCCTCACTGTCTTCCCCACCCAGGCAGCACTCTGCTCTTCATCAAGGTCTTACTTTCAGCACAGTCCCCGGCACCTGAGAGATTCTCAAAACATGTTTGTTGATCTGGGCTGGTGAATGCTTTCTGGGCACAGCCTGCCGCTGGGAAAGGGCAAATCAAGTTGTGGTGATAACGGCACATGTGGAAGGCACATTTCATAAATCACAAACTAAACACATAAGACTGTTTGCTAAGACAGGTGTTCAGACAAGAAGGAAAGCCCCAGGCAGGTGGTGCAGACAGACGAGGGGTCTTGGGAGGAGGCCGGCTTGAGGCTGCAGGGGTGGGAGGGTCTCCCTGCTTAAGGATAGACTGTCCCGGATCCCCGGCCCAGCAAGGTCTTCCCGTCAGCCGTTTGGCTTTTCTCTTGTGTCCACCTGTCCTTCCCTTAACTTTCAAAGGTGCTGACTGGCCCAGGAAAACCTGAGACCGTGGTGTCGGGTATCCAGATTCACCTGAAATAAATCGGTGGCTCTGGTCGGACTGAAACATGACTAATGGGTCAATGTTCTATGACTGCTAATGGGTTTCAGTGAAATCTGGTTCTCAGGTGGAGGCAAGGCTGACTCTTTGAAAAGCTATGAATGAACTAAATCCTGTCTTCATGACCTTCTACCTTCCTGCTCCCTCTTCCCCTGATTCCAAGCCATGTGCACCATCTCTTTCCTAAAAACTAGGTTTGCTCCCTGTTTCCTTGCTGGGAAGCTGAACATGCTAAAGGTCATAAGAAAACTCGGGTTTACAGCTTTGCTGTTTTTCCTCGGCTCTCCCTGGAAAGAAGGTCATGCCTGCCCTGGCTGTATCCTCCCCTGGGTCCATCAGACCCCCTGCTATCTCCCCAGCCATCCCCACCCCTCACCTGGACTCGGGTCCACGGGAACATCTGGAACCTTGGGGCCAGTGCGACGCCAGCTGCACGGCTCCTTCCCTTGTTCGATCTGGGAGAGGACCTCGGGCTTGGAGATGGCATAGTCTGAGGAAGGACAGAAGGGTTAGCTTTGGCCACCTTCCACTTAAGAGGTAGGGACAGGCAGCCCGGGAAACCAAGGTGGCCTAGAAACCACACCTCTTGATTGGTATAGGGCAGCGGCTCTCAAGCACAGGTGAGTCTGTCTCCCAGGGGAAACTGGTCAAAGTCAGAGATGTTTTTTTTTTTCCGAGACTGGGACGGGGCAGAGGCGCCGCTGGAATCTGCTGGCAAGAGGCTGATGGCCGTCTTACAAGGCCCAGGAAGGTCCCCAAAACAAAGCCTCATCTGGCCCAAGACAGGGTGCTGAGCATAAGACACGGTGATATAGGGTCTCTGGGTTAAGAAACAGTTGTTGTTTAGTTGCTAAGCCGTCTGACTCTTTGCAACCCCGTGGACTGTAGCCCTCCAGGCTCCTCTGTCCATCGGATTCTCCAGGCAAGAAGACTGGAGTGGGTTGCCACTTCTTTCTCTAGGGGATCTTCCTGACCCAGGGATCAAACCTGCATCTCCTACATTGGCAGGTGGGTTCTCTACTGCGGAGCCACCAGGGAAGCCCCTAAGAAGCAGTGCCTTCCTGAAAACCGGAATATAACCTCACCCTGTTCCTGCTCCACCTCACGAGCACGCCTTGTTGCCTTCAGGCCTGCGGTCACACAGACACCATCCAAAGAGGTACTAAGTCCAGAAGAAACAGTCCAGGCCCTCTTGAGGGGTATTGCATGAGGGTAGCGGCGGCAGCCCCAGGGTCGGGGAAGCCTCCAGGTACAAGGGTAGCACTGGCTATGAGAAGTCTGGTCTGCCCGTCTGCTCCTCGGTCAAGGCCTCACGTCTCAGTAAAAGACAGCGAGAGCAAAAGCCTCCTCAGACAGGGACTGATCGTAAAAGATCTGAGAGTCGGAGGGGCCTTCTCCACTCCAGGTCTCAGCAAGAGACAGAAACGGCTGTGCTCTGGGCCTGGTTAGGAGAGGGGCCGCCATGCCTCTCGGTTTGGCAACCCGTGAACTTCACCAGGCAAACGACAGCCTTTGACTCAGTCACCCCGGGCCTGACTTCAGTAAGAGGAGGGAGATAACTGTCCATGGTCGAGGGTCCCAGTGATTCACGTTCCTTGCGATAAACAACCACCAGCAGGAAGAAAGAGGGTGAGATCTCCCTGTGCTGCCCGTGCTTAGTCGCTCAGTCGTGTCCGGCTCTTTGCGACCCCATGGACTGTAGCCCGCCAGGCTCCTCTGCCCATGGGGATTCTCCAGGCAAGAATACCGGAGTGGGTATCCTCCTCCAGGGGATCTTCCTGACCCAGGGATCAAAGCCAGGTCTCCCGCATTGCAGGTGGGTTCTTTACTGTCCAGGAAGCCCAGGAATACCGGAGTGGGTAGCCTAGCCCTTCTCTAGGGCATCTTCCCGACCCATGAATCAAACTGGGGTCTCCTGCATTGCAGGCGGATTCTTTGCCAGCTGCGCTACCAGGGAAGCCCTAAGACCTCCTTAAATCACATTTAACCAAGAAATGAATCGCATGCCTTACCCAGGGAGACCAGCGTCTCGTAGTTGCCCCTCATCACGTGCTTGTACAGCTCTTTCTGCCACTCGTCCAGCTTGCCCCACTCCTGCTCAGAGAAATACACGGCCACGTCATCAAAGGGCACCTGGAACCACAGGGTCACGCAGGCTCACCCGCCCGCCGACGGCAGGGGCCGCGGGCTGTCCCACCCCCGGTGCCCAGGGCTTACCTTGGGGGCCTCGCCCTTGCTGCCCGGGGGCAGCCGCAGGATCCAGAAGTTCCTGTTCCTCAGTAGGTTCTCCACGTTCTCCAGCCGCCTCTGCAGCAGCCCGTACTCCTGGAGCAGGGTCCCCAGCACGGCCCACTTGCCCTCCAGCTGGTTCCCGAACTCCACGGCCGTCTTCTCACAGTCGGCCAGCTTCTTCTCGGCCATGCCCGTTCGGCCTTCTAGGGAAAGCAAGCGGGCGGCCTGCGATTCGATCTTCCTCTCCATGGCCTGAATTGTGGCCGCCATTGTCCAGGGAGAAATCTTTCAAAAACAGAGAGGAGACCAGCATCAATCATTCCACCTGCTGTGTTCCGTGAGCAACCTCTCCCGGAGGCGTCAGGGAGCTGGGCTGGGAAGGGGTAGTAGCGTGCATGGCGGGATGTGGGGGTGTCCAGCCCGGACCTCCGCCGGCGGGGCAGCTCCTCTGGGTGAGTACGCTCCACGTCTCTGCAGCCCACCAGTGGAGACCCTGGTCATGGCACTCAGCGCCCTGCAGTTACCTCCCGCCTCCGCCTCTGAAGGCACTGCTGTGTCTGCTCACAGCACACTGAGGGGCCCACAGAAGGCGCGCGGTGCAACTGTGCTAGATAAATAGTGACTGCGAGCTACTGCTGTATTTTAGTGGAGAAATAGTAAACTGCAGGTTTACTAGAGCCCAGCCAGCACCTCCCATCATAACCGCACAGGATCTGTCTATTGACGATGACCTAGCAAAAAAAAAAAACAGCTGGTTCACTGAAACGACACAAACACGAGCATTGCTCAACTGCTCTTTTAAAAAAGCATCTCGTGTCTCTTTAATAAACACAGAAATCCAGTGACCAATTCCTCTCCACCCTAGGACAATCTGATTTTGCCCCTTTCCCAATCACTACCCCCCTCAAACTAAAAATCATCATGACTGCAAATCTTCCCCCTCCACCCCCAGCCAAGAGTTAAGACTCCGATCCAACAAGAGTGCCCTGCCCTGGTGAGACTGACTTTTTCCCTCTCAGTGTTCCACCCCTCCCAAGGGGAGAATCAGTTTCAAATATTCTTGGTGCTGCCCCAGGATCAGTGACACACCTTACAGACAGGTGAGGAAGGTAAAACATTCGCCATCAGGTTAGACTTTATATGTGCTGCAACCATCATAATGACACGGAGACTCCCCAGTGACCTGCCTGGCACAATTTGCTTTGGGTGGGCTGGACCACTAGACACCCCCTACACACACACACACACACACACACACACACACACACACACACACACACACACCCCTCACACACACACACACACACCCCCCTCACACACACACACACACACACCCCTCACACACACACCCACCCCTCACACACACCTGACACACACACACACACCTGACACACACACACACACACACACACACACACACACACACACACACACACACACACACACACACACACACACACACACACACACACACACACACACACACACCTGAAGGTAGGACCCATGGGTCAGGGAGGAAGACCTGATGTTTATCCCTTCTGGCAGTGTCTGAGGATCAGTGGTACCTTACAACACTCTGAAAATCATTCCTAACCAAATGTCTGGTGACTATCTGCAAAGTTAAAAAGTGACTCATAGGAACCAGTGAGGATTCATTTAGACAGTTGCTGAGAACCAGGACATGGGTGGACACCTCAGAAAACAGTGACAAGACAGTTTGAAAACAGGTTGGAAAAACTGTCGAGAACAGAACATCCAGGATCCTGGGGTTGTCTGGAAGGCTGCTGGACCAATGACCTCTGACCTGAAGAAGGAAGACTGATCTCAAAGGATGGGGAGCAGCTGGACTGGCAGAGAAACAACTGGATGTGGGCGGGTCTCTTGCTCAAGAGATAGGTGGTTCTGCCCTGAGGCTGTGGGGACCACACGGGCCTGGCACCTTGGGCTGGCTCAGCCCTGCCTCTGAGTGCCAGGCGCCCCTGGGTGCGGGGCCACGTTTCTTCCCTTCCCCCGGTCCTCCTCTGGTGACCAGTCGCTGACATAGGGCCCCAACCGCTAACAAGTGTCTTCACTTTATGGCCCAGCTCAGTATCCCCTAAAATCCTACTTAACCTTCTCCAAGAGCATCCGACTGCCATTATCATTATCTTCGTGTTGCAAGAAAAGGGCCTTTGCATAAACACTGACCTTATAAATAAAGGCACCGCCCAGTTTTCTGACATTTTAACGGGGGCCCAGGGAGCCTCCTGGAAGGCTTCCACACTATTTGGTGGGAGGAGGCCACTGCTCAAGGCCCTCTCCTCACTAAGGGGTGAGCGGACGACATGGGGCTGGCCTCAAGGCTCCTGACAGGGCAGCGGAAACTCTCCGCCTGGGAGCCGATGGGAAGAGAACAGCCAAAGCCTTCAGTGGCTCCCCACCCGGGATGGTGCAGTCCAGGCCCTCACACCCCTTCCAACTCTCCCTGCGGCCTCTTCTCCCCTTTCCTCCCTACCGAAACCGCCTTTTCCAGGCAAACGGACTCCTCCTCAAACACGCCGGCCGGGGCCCGCCTCTCCGTGTCCAAGCCTCCTTCCTATCGGAAAAGCTCCACCGGGTCCGCGCACAGGCTGAAGAAACCCGAGCCTTCGCCTGCAAGCCCCGCTCGCATCTCAGCAGCCCAGGCCCGGACGGTGCCCTCCCCTGCCTCTTTCGCGTTTTCCTTCGCCATCACCAAGTGTACTGGTCTGCTTGCCCCGAGGCACCGAGTGTCCCGGCACACAGAGAGACCCTCTCTTCCCACGCACTTGCCGGCTGTGCGATCCTGGGCAAGTTAACTTCTCTAGGCCTCGGGTTTTTTCATGACAGTGAGGACCTACCCACCCCCCCCCCCCCCAGGTTTGCTGCGAGGACAAAATCACGCCTAACGGCTGGTGCCGTGCCTGCCTCTACGAAACCGGGGGGAGCAGCTGTCTTCCCGCCCCGAACCTCCCCCCAACCCCAGGAGCTGGGCGCGCAGAGGGGGACTCGGTGACTGCGGAGTCGCGGCCGCTCCGGACACCTCCCAGGTGCCACCAGGCCGCTGGGGGGAGCTGGGGTAGCGAGCGGTGGGCAGAGAAAGGAGACGCGGGGTGGTGGTGGGGGGCGCGCGCGGAGATGGGGGGGGGCAGCGGATGGGGCGGGGGCAGGAAGCCCCGGAGGACAGCAGGAACTCGGCGAGGGGCGGCCTGCGGTGCGGGAACGGCCGGTTCCGCCCGGCTCAGGCTCGGCCCGGAACGGGGTGTGTGGGGGGAGCGCCCAGCCGGCGGGCGGGCGCCGTAGGCCCCGGCGGACCCCGCGTCCCGCTCGCTCGGAGCCCCAGGCCCGGCGGCCCGGTCCGGCCCCCGGAGCCCCTCCCCAGGGCCTGCGGCGCCGTGTGCTGGGCCCCGGCCACCCCGGGGGCCCCCGAGTCCGCGCGTCCGTGCGCGCGGGCCGCCCTTACCGGAGCCGCGGCCGCCTCGGCCATGGCCCTGCGCTGTCCGGCCCGGCCCGGAGGAAGTCGCCGCCGCCGCCGCCGCCGCCGCCGCCGCGCGGCCCCACGCAGGCCGGCCCCCGGCCTCTCCGCAGGCGGCGCCCGCCCGGCCCCGCCGTCCCCGCCCGCGTCGCCGCGCTCCTCGCTGGCCGGCCCGCGCCGCTCCGCCCGCAGACGCGCCGCCGCCGTCAGCGCCCGGCCGGTCCACACTGCATCCTGGGAGCCGGCGCAGGCCCGTGAGGCTTCCTGGAGGCAGCGCGGCCGCACAGCCCCACCTGCAGCCCGGAGAGGCGAACGGCAGGCGCGGCGCCCGCCCCGCCCCGCCCCGCCCCGCGGCCCGCCTGCCCGCCGAGCCCCCGAACGCTGCCCGGCCCGCCGGCCCAGCGAGTCCCCTACTCCCCCAACCCCCGCCCCGCCGACTTGCCCACACTCCCCCTCACTCACGACCCCCGGCCCCTGCCAACCCACCTACTCACCGGCCGCCTGATCCACCGGCCCGCCGATTCTCCGGCTCCCTCGGTCTGCCGGCCAACTGGCCCGCCACCCCGCCGACACTCCGATCCCCAGATTCCCTGACGCCCGGACCCACCGGCCGCGGCCGGGCGCGCGCGCAGAGTCGCCGCCTGAACTCAGCGTCCGACCTGCCCGCGGGGCCGCGAGCGTCTCGGGCTTCCGTCCCCCTGTGCCCCGAGGGGCTCGGCGACCGAAAAGAATCTCCCCGCTGCGGAGACCAGCCGGGCCGCCCTCCCGGTGACCGCGGCGACGGCAGCCGCCCCGGTCCCCCGCCCCATGCCAGCCCTGGGAGGCCCGCGCCGCCTCCCCAGGGGCCGCAGCCACGTCGCCTCTGCGGCTTTGGGTCCTGGCTCCCGCACTCGGGGCTTCTGCGTGTTCACTTCCTTGGCCAGCTGTCCCTCCTGTTCACCTTCGAGTTGAAATGAAAAACGTCCTTCCAGCAATAGGAATATAGCTCACTATATCCCGGTAGGCAGCGCTTGCAACTTTCTCTAACGTCTGGGTGACCTATAAAAATGTTTTTTAATGCAGTGGACAACAGAACACAACACCACTACCTGAAATTATTTCGCTCAAGAAGTTGGTAAGGGAAGATGTTCCTGACATTTTAAGAAAGTCGGTCAAGGATGGTTATATAAGTTTATATATTATGTGTATTATATATTGGGTATATCATGATTACATAATCATTGGAAGGTTTGGAAGCATATGGTCTTAAGTAGATCTCTAACAATCAGACCACAAGCCATTTTAATGCATTTTCTAACTTAAATGCTTTACGTTTTGTAGTAACGACAGTAATGTTTTAAAAATATTTTATAATGACAAGAATTGTATTTTTAAAACAAGGAGAGAAAAATAAGTCGCACAACTCTTCTAAAGGCGAACGGGAGCAGGCGGACGGAAAGCGCCTTTGACTGACGCCCCCGTGTGGCCGTGCAGATGCATTGCTGCCCAGCATTTCCTCTAAACCGGACTCCGGGGGGAGAGGGACCTGCGCACCACGTGCTCCGTACTCCGCAGGGCTGCGGCTCTGCCCGCCCCGGGCCTTAAGGCGCCCTTTGTTTTCTCACCTTCACCTGGAGCTGAACATACCGCAAGGGGTCATCCCGCATGCGTGCTTTGTGTATGAAGGTGGAATCTCCCCAGGAGGAGCGGGGGTGGGGAGGCGACACTTTACTCACAGGGTTGCCTTTGCGGGAGGTCTTTTCGGGTGCCTGACTTTCTTTTTCTCACTGACGCTGGCCCAGCTGGTTTCTGATGTGCGAACCCCCACCCCCAACCCTGCCTGTCAAATGTGGGAGTGTGATAGGGGATAGGGGTTTCCTGATTGGAGCCCCTGCACCCTTTGGCCTTTTGGAGGAAATTCCTGAGCAGGCAAAGTCGACCCAACTCACTGTAGGAGAACGTTCTGGAATCTGCCCCGGAGTCCTTACCTTTTTTTTTTCTTTTCCTTTTAGCTTTTCTTCCATATCATCTTTCCTTCCCAAATAACCCATCCGCTGTACCAAGGGTGCACCCCTGAAGCTTGTATAATTGGGGAATATGAAGAAAAAAATCTTCACAAAATTCCAAGTTTTAAAAAGTCAGTACACAGCTGACATAAGGGATGCTGTCTGAAGCTTCCTTAGCTTCACGGAAAAGTCCTCGATTAAAAAAAAAAAAAAAAGCTATCAGAACCTAGCCAAGTCTTGTCTAGGTTGGGCCTTGTGCAATGGGGCTACTGTGGGGAGAACCCGAGTTCCAGGACCTGAAAGTTCTATTATTTACTGGTCAAGGTCCTTGGGTCCATCTGCCAGCCTCTCGGGGGCTCTCCTTGCTCATATGTAAACCCAGATTAGATCAGGCTATTCTGCAAACCTTCCTGGGTCTGACCTTTCTTTTATCACTCATTTACTTTGACACTGGACCTAGTTGACCACTACTGGCTCTGCTCCTCTCACAGTGGCCTATTTGGTGGTGACTCATGTACTAGCTTGGGCTTCCCAGGTGGCACTAGGGGTAAAGAACCGCCTACCAATGCAGGAGATGTAGGAGACTCAGGTTTGGTCCCTGGGTTGGGAAGATCCCCTGGAGGAGGGCAGGGCAATCCACTCCAGTATTCTTGCCTGGAGAATCCCATGGATAGAGGAGCCTGATGGGCTACAGTCCACAGAGTTGCAAAGAGTTGGACACAACTGAAGCAACTTAACACACACACGTACAAGCTTGCTTATGTTCTCATAACAGCATGTACCAATCAGCTCCCGGATTACCTTGGAGAAGGGGCTTCTTCATTCTCAAGGAAACAGAGGTGTCACCTCCATGGTGATGTGTCCTCTCAGGGTCCCAGTGCTTCTAAGTTGGGACCCATTGCCTGCCTCGTGGAGGAGGAGAACTGCACAGGGGCAGATGCAGCCTGGCCTTCAGTGACCATCTGTGTGTCCCTCGCATGAATTCTTCCCAGGAGAGAGGATCTGATTGGGTGGGTTCTTTCATCTAACAGGCAGTGGCCCTTTTAAGCTGAGACAAAAGCCAAGGCCCCCAAAGCTGGTTGGAGGCCAGAAGAGCGCTGCTAGGTTTACATTTTGTACTTGGAAAAATTGCCAGCAGCTTTATGTAGGGAGCTCTACCAGAGGTTCCTCCAAAGGAAGTTGCGGGCATGAGAAGCCTATCGAGTTTGTGAGCCTTGTCCAATGTCAGTCCTCGTCTCCTACTCTGGCCCTTTGCACTGGCTACATCTCTGGGAAAGGACAGTGACTTGCTCCCTTTGTGTTCCCCAAGACTGATAAACAGCCTTGCACACAACTGGTAAGAAACTGTGTGTGTGTGTGCAGGTATACACGCATGTGCACACGCATACACTAAATATATATATTTTTTCTTTTTTTCTTCAGAGTCAACCTTGTAAAGTAGATAATGTTAGAACTGGATCTTGAAGGATGTTAATAATCAGAGAACGTTTCAGACCAGATGATGGTAGCAGAGATGTGAGCTGGGGAACAGCGTAGAAATAAGGGGAGCCAGAGGGTACAAACGCATTTTGGAGAAGGAACGTGATCAGTTAGGACTTTGAGTCACAAAGGAAAATAGACTGAGTCGTATTGTGACAAGCTTTACAGACTTTATTCTGGGGGTGGGGGTGCTGGGTCGGATAGCTGCGGTCGAGCAGGGAATAAGCCAGTCACGGTGCTGACATGGAGACGTCCCTGAAGGTGACGGGCAGGAGGGGTAAAGAGGGACCCAAGACTGGTGAGGCGGCTGCTACTGCAAGAGTCCAAGCGTGAGGTGGGGTCAGCTCTGACCAAACGTAGCAGGAGTGGGACACCATGGAATGAACAGACTGGAGACCAGCGCTTCACAAACATTTGACACCATGGTGCTCAAGGCCGGACACAAGACTGTGTGCGCCCTGTGAGTCTGGACACTGCCTGAGAAGCCCTCAGCAAACCGGAAGTTGTCCTGAGTGGCCATGCTCTAACGATCCAACCTAGGCAGCATGTTAAAAAGCAGAGACATTACTCTGCCAACAAAGGTCCGTCTAGCCAAGGCTATGGTTTTTCCAGTAGTTATGTATGGATGTGAGAGTTGGACTATAATTAAAGCTGAGCGCCCAAGAATTGATGCTTTTGAACTGTGGTGTTGGAGAAGACTCTTGAGAGTCCCTTGGACTGCAAGGAGATCCAACCAGTCCATCCCAAAGGAGATCAGTCCTGAATATTCATTGGAAGGACTGATGCTGAAGCTGAAACTCCAGTGCTTTGGCCACCTGATGCGAAGAACTGACTCCTTGGGAAAGACCCTGATGCTGGGCAAGATTGAAGGCAGGAGGAGAAGGGGATGACAGAGGATGAGATGGTTGGATGGCATCACTAACTCGATGGACATGAGTTTGAGTAAACTCCAGAAGTTGGTGATGGACAGGGAGGACTGGTGTGTTGCAGTCCATGGGGTCACAAAGAGTTGGACATGACTAAGCTACTGAACTGAACTGATAAATCTTGCAGTCACTCTGCAACACTCCTATGATTATTTGAATTTTTAAACATTGTTTGCCACATGAACCACTGAAAGGCTGGTGAGTCGATGCTTCCAGTGGCTCCCTCACCGCTCCCCACCTTCATGGGCCTCCCCTGCCTCAGTCTGAGCAGCACAGCTCCAGGGAGGCCCAGTTTCCCCCATGATGGCATCACTCTCAGCCAAAGTGGAGGGAGTTCCTGGTGTGGCTTTAGAGAGCCGTGGGCAAGGTGAGCATGCAGCAGATGTATGGGGAAGCTTCAGTGCCCTGGCATCCATGATTGCCCGTCATGCTTTCCAGAACCTTCCATGGCCTCATTTAGTCCAATATGCCGGTGTCAGAGCTTGCCTACACCGAGGATGTAGGTGCCTGACAACAGCTTAGACACTGACTCATCCCAGGGCTCCTGCATCTTCCCTAGGATCAGAGCTATGAGCCTCAAGAATGAAGAATCAAACCCCACAGGATTCCAGGCTCCCTCGAC